CTTGGTCCACTTCACTGTTTTCCATACACACTCTACTGCCCCCACCATCATATCACATTTATCCATCAAACGCATGTTGATGTTATAGTCCAAGACACAATCTTGCTTATAGATTAGTTCTCTGGTGGTTCTGTTCACTTTGCCACTGTCCAGCACTGTTCCAGCGTGAATGGTGGTCAACATGTTCACTTCACGCCTGTCTTTCCACTGCACTGAAAGTATTTCACCTGTTTTTCTGAGCTCGCAATCACCAACCTGCATAGCACCTGGAAACACTGGCATTTCCCTTCGTTTTGCCATCACTGTGCCACACACTCCAGTTCTATTATCAAGCAAGAACCTAGTTAGCAAGGGACTGGTATAATAATTATCTGTGTATAATATGTGGCCCTTGTTAAAATATGGTGCAAGCAGTGCCTTCACCACACTACCCGAGAAACCATGCTGGTCATTAGCAGGAATGTCTACATTTGTACCCGTATACATTATCACGTGTAACACCATTTCACAGTCATAGAGTATAAAGAATTTCAATCCAAAGCGGTGGCATTTAGAGGGAGTATACTGCTTGAAGGGAATTGAAAAGCACAAGGGATTCGTCAATCACAAGCTTCTGAGCTGGTATGTAGAAATCCCTGTACTTTCTGATAAGTTCATTCAGGATGTGCCTTACCTTCCAAAGCATCATTCCGGTCTTCATCATTTGCAAGGTGAAGACACCTGAGGATTATCGTAAATCGGTCTGGAGACATATATTTGCTGAACATTGGTGTTGGAACAGTATGGTCTTTGCTCCAATAATGGTCGATTACATGTTTGACACAATGTATCATCAACATACACAGTGCCAAAAACACATACATTTCACCTACAGTCGTATCTTTCCATCGCTGCAAACATGAATAATCGGATAACTCCTCCTCATCAATGAGATCACTCGAATATTTGTTCGTTTCACGAACAATATATTCTATTAGCGGCTCATCAAAATATGCAGTAAAATAGTCCATTTCACACATATCTGCACCTTTATCAGGGAAAATGACTGTAATTCCAACATCCGAATTATCAAAAACAGGAATTTGTGGAACAAAATCTGTCCCATCACTCCACACAAAAACACCGGGTGTCTTTCGAGAGCCAATAGCGGCACCACGGCGAGGAAACCGTGGACCAGGAGCTGAAGCAGGTCTAGGAACAGTAGGGGCGGCCTGTACCCAAAGGGGACCCATGCTGGATTTTTTTCCCAGGCGGGGTTTGTTTATGGTCGGTCGAGGTTCACCAATGAACCCTATCCTACGCGGGGCGTTTAAATTATAGCGCTAGACACGAAAGCATATATAAATGATGTGCGAGGTTTCGGTTTTGTCACTGATATCATATATATATATGATATGCGCAGTTTAAGGGTTAGTGGCTCACTCAATAGTGAGGCCCTCACACCCGGGAATGTTGCCCATGATTTAAAAAAAATATGGTGTCTGTTTACAAGAGCCCTGAGGAAGGTAATTACCTAAGTGTAGTTACAGGATGAGAGCTACGCTCGTGGTGTCCCGTCTTCCCAGCACTCTTTGTCATATAACGCTTTGAAACTATTGACGGTTTTGGCCTCCACCACCTTCTCACCTAACTTGTTCCAACCGTCTACCACTCTGTTTGCGAAAGTGAATTTTCTTATATTTCTTCGGCGTCTGTGTTTAGCTAGTTTATATCTATGACCTCTTGTTCTTAAAGTTCCAGGTCTCAGGAAATCTTCCCTATTGATTTTATCAATTCCTGTTACTATTTTGTATGTAGTATCATATCACCTCTTTTTCTTCTGTCTTCTAGTTTTGGCATATTTAATGCCTCTAACCTCTCCTCGTAGCTCTTGCCCTTCAGTTCTGGGAGCCACTTAGTAGCATGTTCTTTGCACCTTTTCCAGTTTGTTGATGTGCTTCTTAAGATATGGGCACCACACAACCGCTGCATATTCGAGCTTTGGCCTAACAAAAGTTGTGAACAATTTCTTTAGTATATCGCCATCCATGTATTTAAAAGCAATTCTGAAGTTAGAAAGCGTGGCATAGGCTCCTCGCACAATATTCTTTATGTGGTCCTCAGGTGATAGTTTTCTATCTAGAACCACCCCTAGATCTCTTTCTTTATCAGAACTCTTTAAAGATTTCTCACATAATATATAGGTTGTGTGGGGTCTATGTTCTCCTATTCCACATTCCATAACATGGCATTTATTATCATTAAATTCCATTTGCCAAGTGGTGCTCCAGATACTTATTTTGTCCAGGTCATCTTGAAGGGCATGACAATCATCTAAGTTTCTTATCCTTCCTATTATCTTAGCATCATCAGCAAACATGTTCATATAATTCTGTATACCAACTGGTAGATCATTTATGTAGACAATAAACATCACTGGTGCAAGAACTGAACCCTGTCGTACTCCACTTGTGACATTTCTCTAGTCCGATACATTGCCTCTGATCACTGCCCTCATTTTTCTATCAGTCAGAAAATTTTTCATCCATGTTAGAAGCTTACCTGTCACCCCTCCAATATTTTCCAGTTTCCAGAACAACCTCTTATGTGGAACTCTGTCGAAAGCCTTTTTTAGGTCCAGATAGATGGTCAACCCAACCCAATGTGAACCCCGTGTATCCTCGGGCCGTTTAAATCTTACGTAGTACTCCAAAACGTCATATGATGTGATGTGCACTTTTGCGTATGTTACTCAACACGTCATATGACATGTTGCGCAGTTTAAGGGTTAAGAAGGTGAAGAGCGGAGTCCCAAGAAGTGTCGTTTGGGCTAAATATGGCATTAGTAAGAGTACTGTTTTGGAACTTCTTAAGCAAGGTATGCTACTGAGGTGTCATCCAGAAAGGCATATTTCATTACATTTATTGCTTTATTTATATATTCATTGATACAAAAATATATATTTTTATCATTCTCAGTTTGCAAGAGATGTGCGAGGCTCAAGAAGAAGTGATGAAACTTCATATTCTATTAGCGGCTCATCAAAATATGCAGTAAAATAGTCCATTTCACACATATCTGCACCTTTATCAGGGAAAATGACTGTAATTCCAACATCCGAATTATCAAAAACAGGAATTTGTGGAACAAAATCTGTCCCATCACTCCACACAAAAACACCGGGTGTCTTTCGAGAGCCAATAGCGGCACCACGGCGAGGAAACCGTGGACCAGGAGCTGAAGCAGGTCTAGGAACAGTAGGGGCGGCCTGTACCCAAAGGGGACCCATGCTGGATTTTTTTTCCCAGGCGGGGTTTGTTTATGGTCGGTCGAGGTTCACCAATGAACCCTATCCTACGCGGGGCGTTTAAATTATAGCGCTAGACACGAAAGCATATATAAATGATGTGCGAGGTTTCGGTTTTGTCACAGATATCATATATATATATGATATGCGCAGTTTAAGGGTTAGTGGCTCACTCAATAGTGAGGCCCTCACACCCGGGAATGTTGCCCATGATTTAAAAAAAATATGGTGTCTGTTTACAAGAGCCCTGAGGAAGGTAATTACCTAAGTGTAGTTACAGGATGAGAGCTACGCTCGTGGTGTCCCGTCTTCCCAGCACTCTTTGTCATATAACGCTTTGAAACTATTGACGGTTTTGGCCTCCACCACCTTCTCACCTAACTTGTTCCAACCGTCTACCACTCTGTTTGCGAAGGTGAATTTTCTTATATTTCTTCGGCGTCTGTGTTTAGCTAGTTTATATCTATGACCTCTTGTTCTTAAAGTTCCAGGTCTCAGGAAATCTTCCCTATTGATTTTATCAATTCCTGTTACTATTTTTGTATGTAGTATCATATCACCTCTTTTTCTTCTGTCTTCTAGTTTTGGCATATTTAATGCCTCTAACCTCTCCTCGTAGCTCTTGCCCTTCAGTTCTGGGAGCCACTTAGTAGCATGTTCTTTGCACCTTTTCCAGTTTGTTGATGTGCTTCTTAAGATATGGGCACCACACAACCGCTGCATATTCGAGCTTTGGCCTAACAAAAGTTGTGAACAATTTCTTTAGTATATCGCCATCCATGTATTTAAAAGCAATTCTGAAGTTAGAAAGCGTGGCATAGGCTCCTCGCACAATATTCTTTATGTGGTCCTCAGGTGATAGTTTTCTATCTAGAACCACCCCTAGATCTCTTTCTTTATCAGAACTCTTTAAAGATTTCTCACATAATATATAGGTTGTGTGGGGTCTATGTTCTCCTATTCCACATTCCATAACATGGCATTTATTATCATTAAATTCCATTTGCCAAGTGGTGCTCCAGATACTTATTTTGTCCAGGTCATCTTGAAGGGCATGACAATCATCTAAGTTTCTTATCCTTCCTATTATCTTAGCATCATCAGCAAACATGTTCATATAATTCTGTATACCAACTGGTAGATCATTTATGTAGACAATAAACATCACTGGTGCAAGAACTGAACCCTGTCGTACTCCACTTGTGACATTTCTCTAGTCCGATACATTGCCTCTGATCACTGCCCTCATTTTTTCTATCAGTCAGATAAATTTTTCATCCATGTTAGAAGCTTACCTGTCACCCCTCCAATATTTTCCAGTTTCCAGAACAACCTCTTATGTGGAACTCTGTCGAAAGCCTTTTTTAGGTCCAGATAGATGGTCAACCCAACCCAATGTGAACCCCGTGTATCCTCGGGCCGTTTAAATCTTACGTAGTACTCCAAAACGTCATATGATGTGATGTGCACTTTTGCGTATGTTACTCAACACGTCATATGACATGTTGCGCAGTTTAAGGGTTAAGAAGGTGAAGAGCGGAGTCCCCAAGAAGTGTCGTTTGGGCTAAATATGGCATTAGTAAGAGTACTGTTTTGGAACTTCTTAAGCAAGGTATGCTACTGAGGTGTCATCCAGAAAGGCATATTTCATTACATTTATTGCTTTATTTATATATTCATTGATACAAAAATATATATTTTTATCATTCTCAGTTTGCAAGAGATGTGCGAGGCTCAAGAAGAAGTGATGAAACTTCTCGAGGAAAATGGCACAATCATCAAAAGATTTCAGCGATTAACAGCCTTGACTAATCCAGCTGCTGATGGACAATGAAATGTGACACATGCATAGGGGGCTGTATTGACTGTGTAAGTATATTTGTGTGTGTGTGTGTATATATGTATATATATATATATATATATATTATATATATATATATATATATATATATATATATATATAGATATATATATATATATATATATATAATGTCGTACCTAGTAGCCAGAACGCACTTCTCAACCTACCATGCAAGGCCCGATTTGCCTAATAAGCCAAGTTTTCATGAATTAATATATTTTTTCTCTAATTTTTTTCTCATGAAATGATAAAGCTACCCATTTCATTATGTATGAGGTCAATTTTTTGTTTATTGGAGTTAAAATTAACGTAGATTTATGACCGAACCTAACCAACCCTACCTAACCTAACCTAACCTAACCTATCTTTATAGGTTAGGTTAGGTTAGGTAGCAGAAAAAGTTAGGTTAGGTTAGGTTAGGTAGGTTAGGTAGTCGAAAAAACACTAATTCATGAAAACTTGGCTTATTAGGCAAATCGGGCCTTGCATAGTAGGCTGAGAAGTGCGTTCTGGCTACTAGGTACGACATATATATATATATATATATATATATAAAGTGCACATATATATATATATAATATATATATATATATATATATATATATATATATATATATATATATATATATATATATATATATATATATAATAGGAATATTTTAATCCGTAAAGGAGTAAAAAGCACTACTCCTAACCAAAACATAAACCTGATAATATTCTACAAAACCAAGAAGACTTCCGAACTCCTTATCAAAAACAGCCCGAAGCCGACGGAGAACCCTCTACAGCAGTCAAGCGTTGTATACATGTACACTTGCCCCCTCCTAGTAAACAACACAGAAATCATCGATAGATACAGCGATAGCAGGCGGCTTGTCGTTTGCGAGGCACTACACATCAAGAAGTCAACACCAGCAATCAACAGCCAATTATTGCACAACTATATTCTACCCACCTCAAGACTCCGCTCCAATATAGAAGCATCAAGAAATATGGACCAATAGGCTTTCTACAAACACTTCTATTCAATACCCATTGTTTTCTGTTCTGTCTTGTGTTGATACTTTTAATACCCTATTAATATCCCCTGTTCTGTCTTGTGTTAATGCCACATCATCCTTCCCACCTCACTCAAATGTAGATATAATATCAGAGAGACGTAAGTTCTAATCAGTTGTGTATTTGTGAAGTCTTTGAAAATGTAATAAGTTTTACGAAACGCGCCCGTGTCGCGTCAGACTAGAAATAAAAATGAATTTTGGAGAAGTGATTTTTGATTTACCTCCAACAGTGAAGCGTAATGTACGAAAGATTGAGAAAATTCGTGTTAGAATTATTAATCTTACTTTTTCGGTCATATTTAATAATATATGTCTACAGGAAAGACTGCTACCAAAATATACTAATATATATATATATATATATATATATATATATATATATATATATATATATATATATATATATATATATATATATATATATATATATATATATAAACAACAGAGTACCACCTCTAGCTGGAAGAAGGGGGACCCATAGCCTCGGAGGAGGCTATGGGTCCCCCATACCATACCATAGCCTCCCGGAGGAGGCTATGGTATGATATATATATATATATATATATATATATATATATATATATATATATATATATATATATATATATATATATATATATATATATAAATTTATTTATTATATTTATTTATTTATTTATTAATTTATTTATGTATTTATTTATTTATGCACAAGGTACATAAAAGTACAAAAAAGATACAAAAACTAGCATTGATTGTAATGAAACGTCATTTTCTGGGAGGGCCTGGAATGCTCCCTAAAGCTATTTGAACTGATATATGCTATATTAGTTTGAGGTCATCAGTCACTGGAGTCCTTATGCCTACCGGGAACCACAAGCCAGAACCTGGTCCCCTGAGGAAGGCGCAGGGAGCAATGGCCTATAAGTACTTTGCATTTAAAGTAAGTCATAATTGCCATCGACCGGGAGAGGGCACCCAGAAAGACAGGCGAAACAAAACAGACATTTTTCTGGGTGCCCTCCCCGGTCAGTGACAGTTATGACATACTTTAATGTAAAGTGCTCATAGGCCATTACTCCCTGCTTCTCTCTGAAGGGACTAAGTTTCATCAGTTCGTGGTTCCCGGTAGGCATAAGGACTCCAGTGACTAATGACCCCAAACTAATATTTATTTACTTATTCATTTATATACAAGAAGATACGTTGGGGTTAACAGAGAACATAGAAATTAAGTTGAATTTTCATTCTTGTAAAGCCACTAGCATGCATAACGTTTCTGGCAAGGCAATATAGTGAGGCAAGGCAAGGCAAGGCAAGGCAATATAGCACATATCAGTTCGGATAGCTTCAGGGAGCTGATGGTGCTCCCCACAGAAAAGTTGATATGTAAGGTTGACAGGCATAGACTATTACATTATGGAATCAGTAGTTCTAGCATCAATACAGGACTTTATTTGCATTAATAACAATAGAAATACAAGGTGTAATTTAGAAAAGCAACTGGATTCTTTCTCATAATATTTTCTGTTATGTTCCAAGAAAATGATATGAGAAAGAATCCAGTTGCTTTTCTAAATTACACCTCGTATTTCCATTCTGGTATTGATGTAATATTAATGTATTGGCCTACTGGGGACCATGAGCCAGAAACCTGGTCGCCCCAGAGTGCAGGGAGAGATGGCCTATGAAAACTTTACATTCAAAGTTTAAATCATACTTGCAACCACCAGGAAAGCACCCAAAAAGGTCGGTGAACCAAAAGAAACCATAGCATGATTTAATTAAAAAGCGAAACTGCAGCCTCAAAACTGCCAAAATGAACTCCCCCAACAATAAAAACCATCACCAAATTAACTCAAAGCTATTGCTGGGTTGTTTGCCCCCACCTCCACACCCGACTTGGATGTGGAGGAGAAAGGTATACTGGTTCAGTCACCTCACATTAACCTCAATTGTTTCTGATGTGTGTCCAAGTGTAAACATCAGGCGTTCTGGCTCTAGTTCCTTCGTCAGCTAAGTGGGTACTTAGGGCCTTTGAGGCAGGGTTGGGTTCTGTAGTTTGCTTGGGTTTTATGGAGCCTAATTGCATTGCAGCTGTTTCCATTCGCTACTTTTGGCTCTTTGTAGCCGGTTTGGGCTCCTTAGGAGTCCAATTGTATTGTCAGCTCTTTCCGTTTGCAGCTTCAGCTCTTTCCTTTATTTCTTCATTTCTATTCAAAAAATATTTCAAATATAAATACAAGTTGGATTTTTGGGTGTCCAGAACATTGGTGTGCTTCTACTCTTGCAAAGTCACGAACATGCATGGCATTTCGGGCATAGCGTATTGGTTCTGGCAACCCAGCTGTTTATACTCGGTTGCGTAGTATGAGTCAGGAGTTGTGTGTACTTGGAGTAGCTTGGACAGTTCCCTGTGCGCTCTTCGAGTACCATCTTTTGTGGTCAGGGTTACTTTTCCTGGGTCATTTGGGATACGCTCTCTTTAGTGGGGCCTTCTCACTTGAGGTGGCCCTCACCCTTAACATATGCCGGTGATCTGTAACTGTCTTCCCTGGGGTTGGGAGTGTTTTGGGCAAGTAGAGCGCCCTGGGATTGCATGACCAGCTATTTTATTAGCACATAGGCATGCCGATGTTTGTTTCTAGTTGCCCGTTTTCCATGGCTTGGTCTCGAAGGCTGGGGTTTTGTGTTCTCATTTTGCTCCATTTGTCTGCTTGAGGTTCTGCCTGTAACCTTATTAGGTCCTACTAAGGTGTGTGAAGCCTACCCCCCCCCCCCCCCTTTGTTGCCCCCTGTAACTTTTCTGTTGGGTTCTGTTGGGTTCAGGTGGCTTGGTTGCCTGCTATCTGCTGGGATTCTATCAGCATAGCATTTCCAGTGCCTGGGCTTTCCAGTGTGTATGCTCAAGTTAGGTGCAGCTCCATCCTCCCTCCTGGGTTCATTTCTGTGGACGTTTTGGTTCTTCTGACTCGTCCTTCAGAGGTTTTTCCTCCTGGGTTTCGATGGTGGGGACTTGAGAGGCCCTTATTACTTCCTTTGTACCCTGGTTTTCAGTTCGGTTCCAGATCCTTTTTTCTTGGGTTAAGTTCTTCCTTTTTTTGGGGTGTTCCAAGGTTCTGGGGTATTCCTGGCTAGCAGAATTTTTTTTGTAGGGGGGCCTTGGTAATGGTTTTGCCATCCCACACACTTGACTGGTAGGAGGTGTCACTTGTGTGGCACGTTATGGGGTGTTGGTGTTCCTTCCTGTGCACGTTTTCACTCTAGCTCTCTAGATTTAGATTGTTCTCTAAATTAGATTGTTCTCTTAGAGAACACTGTATAAACATCAGAGGTCCGCAGCTGTTCAACGTCCTCCCAGCGAGCATCAGAAATATTGCCGGAACAACCGTGGACATCTTCAAGAGAAAACTAGACTGTTTTCTAAAAAAACGTTCCAGACTAACCGGGCTGTGGTGGGTATGTGGGCCTGCGGGCCGCTCCTAGCAACAGCCTGGTGGACCAAACTCTCACAAGTCAAGCCTGGCCTCGGGCCGGGCTTGGGGAGTAGAAGAACTCCCAGAACCCCATCAACCACGTATCAACCAGGTAGCTCTTCTGTACTTGGGGTTTTTGTGTAGCATCTGCTCCTTACCCCTGTTGGTTCTTTTAGTGGTGGTTGTCTTTCTCCCCATTTGCCCTTTGTTTCTGTAAAGTGTTCCTGTGCCTCCTTATGCTGCTGTTTATGGCCTATCGGAGGGGATGGGGATGCTCAGCTTGTTTTCTTTTGCAGGGGCTCTGCCCTCTGTTGGATGCTTCCTTCCTCCTGGTTGGGGATTGTTTATGTTCACCTCCCATCTCGTGTGTCGGTAGGCCTTGTTGACCTGGACTTTGGACTTGACATGAGCCCTGGTTCTTCCTTCTGCTTCCCCCTTTCGTTTGTTCCATGCGCATTCCCTTTCGTTGTTTGTTCCCAACATGTTACTTCT